CAGCAGTGTCACATATCCAAGATTTTGGAGATGCCACCACATCTCCTGCGGGAGATGCCGCATCTCGCGCGAGAGATGCGAGTGTCGGTGTGGGGGATGCGTCTCTCTAAAGGAGATCTTACATCTCCAGTGGTGAATGACCTCATCTTCCGAGTGTGGGTGTCGCGTCTCCCGCTGGACATGCAGCATCTCCCGCGGGAGATGCGGTGGCATCTCCAAAATCTTGGATATGTGACACTACTCACTATACGGGTATACGAAGCAATGTTACTACTATCGGGATGTTTGGTGCGATTTTTCTAACTATCATACTATGCAATGTGATATTACTAATTGTAGACTTATATGATGCCATATTTCTAACTATAGGAATAAATGGTATGATATTTCTAATACCAGTGCGCGTTGGCATACTCAGTATTTTAATTAGATAAATTTTATATAAATTCTTGTTTTTTCTATAAATGAATTTGAATTTTTTGAATAAAACTCAATATATCTGAGAAACATGTGTTACATTATTTATCTTTATGGGTGCCACCTATCGGATAATTTTTTGATGACTATAAACGAACAGCTGAGATTTATCTAAAAGAATTATTAATTCATAAGTAGAAAAAAACAAAATATTTCTGTGAAAAATATTTATGTAATGAAAATACTTGGTACGTCGTTCTTTCTTTTTTTAGTCAACTCCATTGTGACAATATAATCTCACTAATAAAACATAAGGAACATATGAAAGAGCAAGACACATATAAATATTCTTACAGTACATCATTTTTCTTTCTTAAAAGAACAGAATATCGGAAGAAATATAAAGAGACGAAAAAGGAGACAATAAGAATGAAAGATTATGACTACTATTGATATTATTTAGAAGCTATGTTTAAAGAGGACGAAAAGATGTGTGCTAAAGTGCATTATTTGTCGAATGCTAGATTATACACATACTCGAGTTGTTATTGAAAACAAAATAACAATTCTCGCAGATCTATCAGAAAGTCAGTGACGAAAGCAAACAAATTAGACTAAAATTTCAGTTGAGGATTGTGAAAGAGATAAACATACATACACTTTTCTTTAATGTAGATTCTTGAAATGGATTGAAGATAAAATTTCTTCAGGTTATACACACATTATTGTGCTGGCTAATGTTTCATAGGTGTGTGTAATCTGAAGAAAAAACTTGAACATATTGTAAAAATAATTCTCTATATATGAACTGCGATAAATTTTGTTAAAAATTTAAAAAAATTGTCTTATAACTAATTGATACATGGAAATAATTCAATAGAGTTGTTATCTGGAGTATTACATTATCTACAACTTTTACAACTCGCTCAAAGAATCCTTTTAAACAAATAAAACGTGATCCAATTCGTTTGAGCTTTTTTTCTTTGATACACAAATATTTTTCTTCTTTCGAAATATACAAATACATTTTGCTATGCTATGATCATAAAATGCTTCTCTAAAATACCCGTATTTGAGCGATTTATTGCCGAGTGTGATCCTGCAAAACATTTCTCTCAATGTTCGTAGACTGTTACGTCATTAAACGATGTGTTTATGTAAATTGCGAATGTGAATATTCTTTCAACTTGTTTGTGAAATTACTAATTTTTTTCTATATGAGAAACACATTAAAATAATGCTTTCTAGCTCGTTTGTTAAAAACTTCGTTTTTTGATAAAAAAAACGTTTTAAAACGACGTATTGAAACACATTTATAAAAAAATGCTTTTTAATAAAATAACACGTTGAAGAAAATGCGTTGAAGCGCCTGTGCAAACAACTGATGATTTTAACAAAAAATGTCTATAAAAACGCATTCAAATGCATGATAAATAAACGCGTCGCAACGCGCAAAAATGAATGCGTTCGAACGATGTTTTTTGAGTCGCATTTTAAGTTGAAAAAATGGGTTGCAAATAAAAAGGATGCATTTGAACGCATTGCAAATAACGCCGATGCATTTAATTGCGTTGCAGACAGAAAAAGATGCGCTTAAACGCAGAAATAACGTTTTTTTTCGAAAAAGTTTGCGTTGGAATGTTCTTTTATACAAATTCTTTTTTCGTGGGTATTGTTTCCACTAAACATTTTTTTCCGCATGCCTGTCTCTAGAGTTAGAAAGTGAATGAAAAAACCGAAAAAGAAAATGAGAATTGATTTATTTTTGGAAAGGAAAATTTTCATTGCTTCTATTTTGCGTAGGCTTTTTTGTTGGAGTAATGAAAGAGCCGTAGTACAAGTGTGGCCAATTGAAATTCTCCCTATCGTTTCTTTTTTGTTTGTGTTACTACACTTATTTTATTTTTTAATCTACCATATATAGCGAGAAAGTCCGAAACGCGCTGCATCTTTTGGTATATTTACCTTGAGCATCAAATACAGTTTGAAGTATAAGAAATGTATTAGAACATAATGAGACATTTTTTTTACTACAAGACCGTGTGTCCATACTGGTATAAGGTTTTTTATTTCGCATCTATCTCGGATTAGGTAAATGACGAAACCTTGGATTCTTTTCCAAAAGATGCGTCTTGAAAAGTTGTATAAAAAGCTGTATGATTGAGTTCCTGTTCTAATGGTTTTCTAATACTCAAAATGAACAACTTACATGAGTGTCACTTTGCATCATACTAAAAAAGCTATTAGGACTTTTTTCATTCGCTAGAGGACTTGGTCGATATAACTTCTGTGGAGCACTCGACGTCACACCTTTTAAAGAAAAAATCAATATTATATAGCTTTCTCAAGTCGAGATATATGCAGAACAAAAAAATCTTCCAACATTTTCAGTATGGCGGCAAGTGCTCCTGACATGTAAGCTGTTCATTCCAAGTATAAGAAAAACCATTAGAAAAGGTAAAAAGGCATTCCATCATACAACTTTTATAGAGCTTTTCACGACGCATCTTTTGGAAAGGAATTGAAGGTTTTATCATTTAACTAACCTGAGATATGTGCGAAATAAAAAATGTTACAAAATTATGGACACATTGTAGTAAAAAAAAGTGTCACTTTTTGTCTAATACACGTTTTACACTTAAAAATACATTTGATGTTCAGCATCAATATACCAAAAGATGCAGCGCGTTTCGGGCTTTCTCGCTATATATGGTAGATTAAAAAATAAAATAAGTATAGTAACAAAAACAAAAAAAACGATAGGGGGAATTTTAATTGGCCCCAACTATATAATCGTTGACATAGATATTAGCTAAATATAGCAAAATAGACTCATTTGTAGCATTCTCATGAATCTAATTGAATTAAGCAAGAATCACGGTAAATAAAAATGACAATTTCTATTTTGAATTTTCGTTTCTATTTAGGAGGACTTTATCAAGAACAATCTAATAAAAGTCCAACTCCAATTACTTTATTATCTTATGACGGAAAGCCCACGATAAGATCCAGTAAATGCTCGATTTGACCGCTAAATACTTCACTGTCAGTTTGATTGCATTTTGTTTGTTCTCGGCATCCTCTTTATACAGTAGGTGTTAGCCAGTAGTGTCATCGAACTACCTCGACTGTATCGTGATAATAAACAAAATATGATATTATCATACCTATGGCATTCTCCTTATTCATCATCAGCTGATCAACTACTTGGAGGAATCACAGAAGATCTTTCTTCTTTAATTGAAAGTGGTATTAATGCTGAAATTAATGGTTTAGGTAAGAATAATTCGGGAGAGAAAAAGGATTTCGTCGAAAACTTCCCCTAAACATTTTCCTATTTTTGCTTTTACTACTAGTAGTATCGCATCTAATTTCTTTATACTCATGTTTAACAAAAGTCAAAAGTATCCCGTTCTGAAAAGAAAAAAAATGTAACAGAGGGTATATAGGATCCATTCTTTAGCAAATGACATCGTTAACAAGGCATCTATCTGATTGCTAAGAGCACATAGTCTATCTTCATTTATGTTTATTTAGGTTGCATTCATTTCGACATTTTCATTCAAAGTGTTCATGCTGATGAACTTGCTCAATTAAAAATAACGCAGAGAATATCACATAATGGTTATTATGCATGTCGACTTTGTGAACTTGAAGCAATTTGCAGTGCTACTGATAACACTTGCACATATTCATGATCTTTGTTTAAACTTACATATCCATTGTTTAGAGCTAAGGACTAATTGAATTGTGCTTATAAGAAGTCGAACATCTTAAAACCATTGGCAACAAAAATATTAATGTTCATGATCTAAAAGGCGTATCTCCATTAAATCATCTGATTTTTATACCGACTCAAGCGATATATGATTATTTTCATTTCTGTTTGGAAGTAAGTTAACTTCAGTCTTAAATAGTAGTATTAGACAAAGTTTGGATCTAGACAATATTAAATTGAGTTTTTAAAAATTTAAAAATAATAAGAAACAAATAGATAATTACAAATAACTGATACTATTTGTTCATGTTAAGTGATGTTCAACTTTTATTGAAGTCTAGTTAGTTCTGGGCAGTTGTAGAGTTAGCCAGTATATTCAATTGAAATCTATGTGATTTTAGGAAGTTATACAGTTCACCAGTGTGTTTTATTGAAATCTAGTTCAGTTTTTCAAGCTGAAAAATTCGAAAAAATAGACAATATAAATTGTTTGAATATAAGTTAATTTTAGTCTTTCAATGAAGTTATTGATATTTTTTTGACTCTTCAGGCAATTTATTGTCATACATGTTTTTTATCAGTAATTTCTATTCTGATCTTTAGTAATGCGTTCATTTTATTAGCTGAAAGATCGATTAGTAGATTTATATAAATATTGCTTTTCTTACGATTCAATGTCAGTAAAACATTAACAAAAAGAACAGTAGTAAACACTAATATCTTGCAATAAGTGATGTATATGTAATAGTTCTGAAAACAGTTTGTAGTTGATAATGAATCGCATATTGGATTTAATAATAAATTAGTAGTATACTTCAAACCTGTTCCTATGCACTGATAGAGCTTTCTTGTTGGTAAAAATCACAATTTGTATATCTCAAATTCACTCAATTGATCAAAAACCACCTATTCTAGTTATGCTGGTAGGAAACACTCATCTGACCGAAAAATAATAGAAAAAAAACAAGGATTAATGTTAAATAAGTGGAAACGAGCATTCTATTGTTGTATCTGAGGTTTGCTTAAATAAATAATCACATTTTTTCTAGTGATAGGAAGAGTTTGAATTCATAAAAAAATTACGCTCTGCTGCGCCTAATATAAACAAATTTGCCTAAAGTTTTTTTCCTCTGATATAGATGTTCCTTTTGACTTAGAGAGAATGCTTTCCAATGAGAAGTAGGTCTATCGGAAGACTTGGCGTTTGAAGTTTTAAAAATGCTCTTTATCGACTATAACAAATAAAAGATAATCGTTTAAATAAACATGAATAAATTGAGTACAAAGAAAAATCTTGCTTAGAAAAGCTTCACTGACACAGCCAGGTTGATAAGTAAACAGAAAATAATAAATTATATAATCATTTCGTTCGTCTCTTACATTTTTCATTTTATGGTCACACAAGAGTTTTGCTAAAAGAATGGAATGATGTGCATTCGGGTTCAAGTGCCCAACCACATGAAAAAATTGATAAACTCGATGAATTTTCGTTAAGTAATAATTATTCATATTCTATTGACCGTCCAGTTCAAAACTTTCCATTATTTAATAATTGAAAAGTTACTCATCTCCTTATATTTCTTCTTTACCCAGCGTTACTATTCTTGCTATGTTTTCATGATAATTTTTCTCCTTTACTTATTTATCAATTTTCTTTACTTTTCACTTACTTACGTACGTTATGTAAATTTAGTGAACAAAAACATGTGTATGATGTGCATCTATTCATCGAGATTCATCTTCATCGATTTTCTAAGTTTTATAAAAAAATCCAAAGAACTTCTATCAATACATTGTAACATGCATTTATCACCACAAGTAATTCGGCACGGCTCTTTAAGTACAGCAGGGTGTAATTATGTCATCTACCTTTTGTAATTAAAATACTATATGAGTTTGCTTGAGTTCATTACGAGCATTAAGTTGCTCGACAAAAGAATGATTCATTTTCACCTCTAATTTAATCTATTTGCAGTTAGAAATCTACAGCATGAAAATTACACTCACGTTGATAGAAAATTCTTTGAGATCGAGCATTTTATAGGGATTTTTGACAGATTTTTGTTTATGTCTATAATCGAAGTGTGTTGTTCAGAACTTTTGTAAGATCTTGTATTGAAGTATGAGTAGTGACTTTCTATGCATCTATACAATTTTTACAGATAAAAGCTCTTATATTCTACCGTCGTATACAGATAAATCAGAATTTATTTGAATTAAGTTCTAAATTTTCATAACATTGATCTATCATCATATTTTTTGCAGTATATTTGATTCAGAATCGTGTTTACGTGCGCTATACAAATTAACTCATGGGACCAAACATATAGGACAATAAAGTGCTTATTGGCATACAATTTCATTGTGCTATTCATTTTATGTCAATCCAAAAATAATTAGATATTAATGATCATGGTATTTGTATAGATGGCTATATTAATGCACTTATATTAAAAAAATAAACAACGATTTAATTAATCATTTTTTTGTAAGTTTTCTTGTTCATCAAAAGAGTCAGTTATTTTTCGTTCTCGGTATTAAATGCAACTAATCGTATACCATCCATTCTTGTACTCTTTTCGGAAACAATCATCTAGTTTCAATGTGTGTGTTAATAATTGTAGTTGTCCGAAAAAAATGATCTAGTGAAATTGTTTTTTTTTCTTTTCCTATCAAGACGATCTGCTTTTGTTTCTGTCTTCTCATCCTCGCTCTTTGTCCCAGACTTTTTCATTTGCGATTCAGGTAAACGACCATGTACCCATGTGATCTGCACGTGTTAATAGACTTTATTGTCTTGTTGATAAAGATAGTGATAATTTTTTCGTTTTTTCTTGTACAATATTGTAACGATCCCAATGGAGTGTATTATATGAGTGATATTTAACGCTTCCTTACTATTGTTTTGTATCCTTGGCATCGCCATTGCTTTGCTGTTGTTGCTTTGATGTCCTTGTCTTTTCTCCTCTTTCTTTCTCTATGAAGCTTACATATATAAACGTGTGCTTTTGATCAGAACAATGCAATTGTATGATATGAATGATTAGAATGAAGTGTAATTTCATCTGCATTAGGGTTCCTTCTGTCAGAAATCGTCACAGATACTTCGCTCAAAATGCTTTTTCTTTCCTTTACGTGGTGATCATTTTATTGTTTGTATATCTATTGACAATGAACTTGAACATGATTGAAAGAAGAAGAGATGCCTTCACTTTCTTCATTATTATTTTTTTCTTCGAGATAATCCTTCGGATATTGATCTTCTTTATTCATCATCGTCATATCATTCAATTCAAATCAAGTTGTTAACTGCTTTTTTATCTTCTAATCATTGAATCTTTTTAGGGAAATATCTATGATCTCGACCAACAGAAGCAATGCTTTTCAACGTATTTTTGCAACACCAACATTGATCTCAATATCATCATTCATCTATGCAGCCACCATCTAGCGATAAGTAAATAAATGCTTGAAAAATCAAAAGTGAGCATAGATAATTCTTTTTGTGACTGAAATGCTCACTTTGGGGATATTAAAGGGCGCGCACGTATTGTTAGATCTCTCGCATTTCATTGTGATAATAATCATCGTCTCTCGTCTTTTGGTACTGATAAGTCGATGGATTAAGTGAGTCATTCCTTCGTTGGTGAATGAAAAGTGAACTATGTGAAACCTTCACTGAACTAAAATTCTTACCATTCGAGGATATAAGAAGGACAGTTTTCGGGAGACCATGAACAGTTGGAAGTAGCAGAAATCATGTTGGCTACTGTTTGGTTAGAGGTATGATCGGTGGCTTAGTTGAACTTACGAGAGAAGTACCCAAAGTGTTTAAAAGCTTTTGAGTTCGGACTTTGTGTATAATGTAGACCCCAATGAGATATAGAAAACCTCAAAAGGACAAGTGCCCATAGACTTTCTACGCACAGTTATAGGTGTTTTACTGAAACTTTAGCCTATAGTACTGTATGCACTAAAGAATCGAATGACGATGTTTCTAGCTGAAATTTTGCTCACAGATAAGCCTACTAGTAAATAGAATGTCCTGAAAATTTCAGCTCGAAAGAGCGTTTCCTTCTCGAGATATTGAAACCCCCGGAAAAACATCAGGTTCTCGAATCTTTCGTGAAATATAAAACATTTTAGGAATTCGATATCTCGTGAAGAAAGTATTCTTTTGAGCTGAAATTTTCAGAACATTCTATCTACTTGTAGACCTATCTGTAGGCAAAATTTCAGCTCGAAATATCGTCATTCGATTCTTTAGTGCACACACTACGATAAATTAAAATTTCAGTAAAACGCCTATAACTTTGTAGGAAAGACCTATGGGCACTTGTCCTTTTGGGTTTCTTTATATCTCATTGGGGTCTACCTTATGCACAAAGTCCGAATTCAAAAGCTTTTAAACAGTTCGGGTGCTTCCCTCCTTAGTTTTTTTGGTTTTGATATCAGGGTAGTGTGTGAAGGTTATGATTGGTTTTTCTTGGCGACGCAAATTTGTCGAGGAACAATGTCTATGATGGACGGTTTGTTTCATTCAAATAATGTCATAGTTTCACGGCGTTGGCTGTGATTCATTTGTGTACTGTGATATGTCTGCTCCGTTTGTGGTGTGTTGAATGCAAATGTGGTTTTATTGAGTTCAGGTTGGCGGTAGTTTGGTTTTGCGGCTATGGTTGTGAGGTGTGGATATGTGTGTGTAATTTTCTCTCTACCAACAGTCATGCCCACCCACATTCACAGGCACATCGACACCGTTTCAAAATTGTGCGAAAGCTGGAAAGCTTCAGCGGACCTATTGGAGCAAGGGAAAATGGCAGATTCTGCGGCTTTAGGACTTCATGAGATTCCATGGAACTCCAAGGAACTCGGATTTACTCTGAAGTCCTGGAATTCCTAATATTAAACAAATACCTGACTGCTCACAGTCTCTTATTGCGAGCAAGGAATGACGACAATAGTAATGAAAAGTCATTT